CACCGACTCACAGCCTCGCCGCGTCCCGCCGTCTCAGGGAGGAGAAATCGGCGGAGCTGCAGCTGAGAAAAGATTGAGTGTGTGTGTGTGTGAGGAAGTCCGTGGATTGGTCAATTTGGACCAATCCACGGAGGGGTCGTCGTTACATCACTTGGTTCCCGAAAGAAAGAAATGGAAAAAGAGAAATCTCCAACGAGGCGTTCTGGGGCAGCATAGACAGGTCTTTTCTGTGTTAGAGTTTTACTCGCTACAGGGTGTACTTTGAGGGTTTGTGACTCTGCAGACCGTTTACATGCATACAAACCTACATAACACACAAGGGGACGGGTAATAACCGGAAAAGCATGACATGGGACCTTTAATTATTTTGTTTCCAAAGACAAAAAAAACATTAACACTGACAGAACACTTAGTTCTTGTCCTCAATTCCTGGTTACTCTCTGACTTTATTCAGCATGGTAATGAATGAATGAATGAATAGCATGTCACACAAAAAGAGTAACAGACGATCTCTAATCTCCTTCTCTTTGTTTTTCAACAGTATGGTCAAATAAAGTCCCAAACCTGCGCTGTCTGCTGACAGGAGAATGTTCTGGACTCATCACCAGAAACCCCGCACATAAACACACCTGGAAAATAAACCTGAAGCCAACGCACTGACTCTGTTGTAAATCCTCTCAAAATCCTGCTTTAGACAACGACTCAGTTTAACCTCAGAGATTTATATTGTAACCTTAGAGCTCTTTGTCCTGCTGTCAGAGAAGATATTCAGTAGATGTAGATAACAACAAAAGGCTGTATATCATGTGAGCTTGGCTTTGCAAAAAAGGGGCTTTTTCTGCTTGAGTTTCATATTAAAGAAATCTGCACACAGCTTTTCTTATATATAAAGATGAATTAACTGATATTTCCTCCCATCACATTTCAGTAAAACAAGGATTGGTTTGTTGCTAAGATTTGTAGAAGATGTTAAGTAAGTTTGGAGTGAGTTACTTCAAGTTGTGTCAGTGACTTTATTTACCCGATGCACCGTCCTACAGATCTCTGATAGCTGCTGTCGGAGTTGGTGGAAGTGGTTCATTCTCTGGAGCTAAACTCACTGATTAGAGTTTGTGTTTGTGATTGCTTTAAGTCCCTCAGTCCCGCAAAGAAGGAATACATAGAGATGTAATAAACCTGCTCAAACCCAATCAGTGTCGTTGTGTTTCTTTTGGACAGCTTGACACCCTTTGCCAAACAGAGATTTTCTCATTAATGGAACCAAAATGCATCCATCTTGCTAGAGTGGTGAAGGTCTGCATTTATACAATTGCTGACATGGAAAACTTCAACAATATAACTTCTTTATCAAACTTCTTCTGGCTTAAAGTTGGTGCACAGAAACAGGGGAACAAACACATGCTGAGACACATTTTATGTTGGCTTTTGAAAGTATACAAGACGTTTTCCACTCTTTCTTTTTGCATTATAGATTTGATATGGTTTTAAAAAAACAAATATCTCTCATCAGTCCTTTGTGTGACGCCACTCCAAAATGATCTCAGGTAAATCCTGTTTGCTCGGATTATCCTGAGATTTCTCTAGAACTTGTTGAAGAGTAATGGGTCAAGTTTTAATCAACGATTTGCAAATGCGTACTTCTCTGTCCTTGCATCCACATCGTTTGCTTTTTTTCACTGCAGTATTGAGTTCTTCCTTAATCTGGTTTGGTTTAAATTCGAGCAATTTCAAAAGGATTTATTCTGTTATTTGACATCATATAGATATTAGGTTTAATAGTAATTGCTTCTGGAAATATGAAAGGTTTTCCTCAAAAACATTAAAACAAATGAAACCAAACAGGCTTACAAAATGAAATGACTTTTTTGGAGAACAAATAATTATTTCTGGATTTCCTCCAATGTATCTTTACATAATATGAAATATCCATGATTGAAACAACAACCAAAGTTTAAGGGAAAAGTAAAGAAATTAACTCAAAACTGCTTTTATTTGTTTACTTCCTGTGACCTTTCAATAAGTGCAAAAGACACAATTGCATGGAGTTCATTTTAAAGTGTAAAACATCCCCAAAAAGTTCTCCTTTTGGCAAAAGGTGTGTATTCATATCATACCTTAAAGTGGACCTATCATTCTATATTTGAATAATATAGTGTAGGACCATACCTATATAAGGCATATTTATACTTTTTTTTCCTTCAAAATACCAAACAGATCATGCATTTTAGCCATGCCTCATTTCGCTCAATTTGACATGTTTTACCCCTGTTTTGGCAAGGGCAGATTCAGTGAGAACAGCACCATCTACAGGCCTGGCATATGTACTACAGCGTCTCCAGCGCTTTCGAACGGCAATGGCCGTGGCTGTCTCCTCCTGATTGGTGGAGTTGGCCCAATAGCCGTAGCGCCACCGTCCTGACGTCAGGACAGTGTTCAAATCTGGATCAGTTTTTATCAGATCCGTTGCAGACCCTTTTTTAGAGATTTGGGTATGGAGGAAAATAGAGAGGGTTGTGTTTTCTGACACTTGGTGAGTTCCCTGGAACACCGGGGACACATATTCATGTATAAAAGACGTACAAAAGTGCATTTTGCATGATAGGTCCCCTTTAAGGGTAGGGTAGGTAAGAATGGAGAAACCAGCTCGAGTGCGCTAGAATTTGAAAGTACGCAGCCGAAAAGAAATCTGCCCCTTCCTTCAGACTTCCTTATAGAGCCCCTCCTCCAACACACACGAACGCGCACATGACCAATGAGGGCACGAGATAAGTTTGTGCACAGATGGAAGGCTGACAGGCAGGTAGGCCATCCAGTTACTTTAGCCGGGCCGGCTAAAATGATTGGTCGTGCTTTTTACAGTATTACGGCTTCCACAGATGACATTTTTGTATGGATTTTTTGTCAAAGCACTTAAGATATTCATTGCTATCGGGATGTTAACAGCATTCCATGGAATATAACAAAAAGTGTATCTGAAGTGAATTACCTACCCTACCTTTAATTTCTCATTAAACGATCTGTAGACAGAAAATATTTTCCAGAGCCAAACAACAAAGGAGAGCAGCGTTTAAAATATTGTGCCGTTTTTTATTTTTGTGTAAAAATCACACAGCTGCTAGTTGACTCTGCAGAGATACAGTACATCCATGCAGTTAAACATCTAGGATCCCACAGCCAAGAGAGAAGGAATTAAATAGAATATTCTTTCGCTGTTAGTCAGCAATTAATGCAAATGTACATATGAGTCCAAAAGTGTGTATCATATACAATATACAACACAGATCTGGGAGCAAATAGCATTCAAAATCCCATCAAAGACTCAAGAGGTGATTGCTTCTGCCTGTCTGGATTGCCTTTGGGGGTTTAAAGGATGAACGGGGAGCTGTTGTGCTAGCAAACATAAATCAATCCTGCATTTTAATAGGGTTTCAAATGGTATTAGTTCCAGGTCTGGAAACGATATAACACACACACACACGCACACACACCAAGAACATCATCGTCCTCAACAGCAGAAAAAAGAAGGCGAGCCTTGATAGGACAAGGGGTCAGAGGTCAGTCAGCCACGGAGGAAACCTGAACGCCAGTCGGGGAGTAAGGCTTTGAGAAGAACACAGATTCTTCAGACACACAGGAAGCTCCGGGGACAAAACACTTATAAAAAATAATTAACCCAACAAGAGTTTTAGGGTACTGGCACAAAAAACCTTACAGTTTCCAAGGTGAAGAAATAAAATGAGTGGTTCATTCTTCTTCTTTTTTTTAAATACGCATGAAGGACAACATGCAAGTTAAAAGAAAGCAGGAAGAGGGATGTAACAAGTAAAAATACAAGGAGCGGGGGGGGGGGTTAGGTTCAAAGTGCAGTTGGGTCATTCAGGTCTCCTTTTCTGTCGACTGGTCTCCGTCTGTAGTAAGCTTCGTCTACACCCAGCCATGGTCACATCTCGCACATTTAGGGTGAAAGTGCCCCGATAAAACACTGATCTGGACTTCCCTCTGGAGCAGGGGGAGAGCTCCAGGAAGAAAGAAAAAAGGCCGATTGAATCACTAAGTAAATGGTGTTCTGGAAGATCTACGATACAAAAACCAGAGTATACTGCTCACACAGTTGCTACTATCATAGTACAAACAGCTAAGTATAGTTGTGAGGATGTATCGCCCGTACTTGCATAGTGCCGCCTGCCCGATTAGAAAACCGCTGAGTTTTTAAATCTGTAACTCTAGATCTGTGCAGTTTGCTGATCACAAGAAGAATTATTCATAAATTTAGACCCCTGCAGTCAAGCAGCTGGAAAATCTTCAAACCGTTCGAGTGAATATGTGTTTTGAACTGGTTTCCCATCCATGTGAAAGAAAGACGGTAAAAAAAGCAACTGAAATGTTTAAAAAAGAAAGCTGAGATGTTTACACACAAGAGAAACCTGAAGGGGAAAAAAAATAGTTGCATTTCTGTTTTTAAAAACACAGCCCAGACAGACAGAGGTGAGAGAGCAGAGTTCAGTCATTTGGCATAAAGTTTAAACCATTCATTCAGTACACACACACACACACACACACACACACACACAAACACACACACCACACACACACCACAAACACACACACACACACACACACACACACACACCACACCACACACACACACAACACACACACACACACACACACACACACACACACACACACACACACACACACACACACACACACACACACACACACACACACACACACACACACACACACACACACACACACACACACACACACAACACACACACACACACCACACACACACACACACACACACCACACACACACACACACACACACACACACACACACACACACACACACACACACACACACACACACACACACACACACGGGCTGAATTTAATTAATGTCACAGGATGCGTCAAACTAAAACAAAAAGCCTTCACCATAATGATTTAGCCGTGTAAGGCCTCACAAAAACATACACACACACAGTCCTGTTCAGAAGAAGCACAGTATGTTTTAATGGAGACAGACGACACCAAACTCCTGGTGTAGATGTTCTGGAAGCCTCAAAGCTAGCCTTTGCTAAGCTAATCACAGACTCCATTTAAATGATATGGATCTTCTCTAACAAAAGAAATAGTGAAGAAGTATTACTTTGACTACTCAAAAATACTACACTGCTCTTTAAAATGTGCCTGATTTTAAAAGGAGTTTGGTGTGGTAGAGTCCGTACCCCAAGACAGAATAAACACATTGGTGCTAGCTTCAAGTAATCACTAAACAGGAACACAGCTACACAGACACACACACACCTTTCTTCTTCAGTCATTCACAAAGTGATCAGACACCAGCAGTTTTGTCTTCAGACGGCATTCGCAGTTTTGTCCGCCACTCCTAACCGTTTCTCAGTCGTCCTCACTTTCTTTTGAGAAAAATTGAAAAGTGCCAGTTTGTGTAAATCCCACCCCCCCCCACGACGCTCCTGTCACCTCCTCCTCCTCCTCCTCCTCCGCCTCCTCCTGTTGGTGGATCTGTGCTCTCAGTTGCTTCTGGTTTATGATTAATGTGTGTGATGGAGCGTAGGAGTTTTAACGGAGCACCCTGCAGCCGGCCGGAGCCTCCAAGCTGAGATGGTGGGAGGAGGAAGAGGAGGTGGAGAGGGGGGGGGATTCACACCGAGGGTCACAGCCTCGCTTCAGATGAACTACAGCAGAGTTTTCCTCCTCACGTTGGTTAAAGATGAGAGAACGGTCTGAGCTGCTCCAGCTGCACTTCCAGGGATATCCTCTCTTCAAGCAGGTCCTGGAGAATGAGAGGAAGTTAGGAGTGATCTTTTTCCCAGCCTGAAAGAGAGTCATATCGTTATTTATTTTGATTGTGCGTACCTTCAGCTGTTGCTGCAGTTCACTGTTAAGTCGTGCCAACACTGTGTTCGTCTCCTTGTTTCTTCTGATAGAAGCTTGAATCGCCTTTTTGTCTTTTCCAACTGACCTGAAATCACAAATACACATACTTTTGGATTAAAAAGACAAACATAAAAACAACTTCAACACAAGGCAATTCAAAGTGCTTTACAGCTTTACTTAAGACATTAAGAAACATATTATAAAATGGCATTTAAAAACACTAATTTAAAAGCAAAGATAATAGAACATGAATAACAAAAGGTACTATGCAGTGTGAGATACACACATCTGAAATGTTTAGGTCTGACTCTCAATCATTGCTCACTTTTTAGCAGAAATATACCGACGGCCAGATCTAATAGTAATTAAAAATTATCCTGCGGGCCGAAATTAAATCCACCAAGGGCCTGATTTGGCCCCCGGGCCTTGAGTTTGACACATGTGGTTTAGTTATTTCAAGTGTTTCATGCTAAACGAACCCCCCTTTTGAAAATGCTAACCTTAACTCAGCGTTTCTCAAAGTGTGGGGCACGCCCCACTGGTGGGTCGCGAATGGACGCGATGAACGGGAGATTATTATTATTTTTATTTTTTTTGGACCTCAGGCCGGAATCGAACCTGGGTCCTCGCGGGCGGTAGTGGACTGTTACAGCCGGAGACACGCAACAGCGGTGGACTTTCACAGCACTGCTGCGCCGGACCCGCCGGAGCCTCGCAACGGCGGGTGTTTGCAGCGGCGGATGCGGTACCGGCCCACGGAATGCAGCAGCCCACCAACGGCAGCGGCCCTGCCGTTGGTGGCCCAATAGGCCTATGTTTATTTTATTTTTTTTTAACGCAAGCCGTCATCGCCACGGAGGAGCACAGACTCTGTGAGCGAGCGAGACAGAGACAGAGACAGAGACAGAGACAGAGACAGAGACAGAGACAGAGAGAGAGAGAGAGAGAGAGAGAGCACACCTTTATCTATTTAATATAGCCTAGTTGTAAAAAATAAAGTAAGAAATCATTCCAATGTGTATAGGACAGTATAAAAAAAACTGTTTAAAAGGGGAGTGATTAGTAAAATATGCATAAATAAAAAAGAATGCTAACTAGGTAACATAAGATAAGAATAAACAAGTTTAAATGATTTGTTATTGGTTGTGATCATATTCTAAAGATGTTTGGATTATTGAAAAGTATACAGCTCCCTTTCATATGAGTGTTGAGAGCTGTATCCATAAATTCATTTTGTGCTCAGGAGGAGGTTAGGTCCACCCCCAAATAAAGCAGGTTAAAATAATTAAATTGAATACATTTTATTTTAGTAAACACTGAAAACGGGTCCCACAGACCCAAACAGCACACAAAGGTTAAAGGTAAGCATATCATAATGTTAATGTAAAAGTAGCTCACGACTTGTTTTATTTTTTGAAAGTAGCTCTCATCCTAAAAAAGGTTGGAGACCCCTGTTATAGAACGATACATTTGACAATTTTAAGCTTGGCCTACCATTTTATTGGAGCGATGAGGAACAGGTGGGGCTTGAAAAGGCCCACCCGTTCAAAGTGGGGAATGACAGAAAAAGTTTGAGAACCACTGCCTTAACTCAAGTTTACATAGTTCTTCCAAAGCTCTTGTTCACAGACTAACTGAATGTCCTACCTGGGGATGGAGGGCTGAGTGGCCAGGACGGCAGCGATGACATTTGATTTCTGCGGACCGGGTGCCTCGTCCTCCGGTCGCAGCTCGTCTTCAGATTTCAACCTCCGGCGCACAGGTTTGGGAGGCGGGCCTAACGGACCAGACCCAGAACATTTGGCCTGACGGGGAAACAAAAGTAAATGGTATATTGAATATCTTTGGTTTAATGATATTTAATGGTTGATAAGTATTGTTGGAAGTAGTTGATAATATATTCAGTTCATATTTAATAGAAGAATATGTTGACTTACGGAGCTGACAGTGGCTGGGACTCTCTCATCTACTTGGCCGTCACTCTTCACGGTTCTTAAAGGGCCGGCGCCCTCTGAAGGCTTCTCCACCTGTCGGCACACAGAAAAACATCAGATGGTACACTCTGAGACGAACACAGACAATGGGAAACACTTTGGGTGTCAACTTTAAAATGATGCCTGTCATTTTTCCCACACATGCAAGGGATTGTGCGACAATTACGAAAAGACACAATGTAATTCAAAAGATATACTCAGAGAAGTTAAAAAAGGGTAATCATTTTGGACATTCATCAAATGTATTTTCTTCTTAAGACAACTATACCCCAGCTAGTTTGTTGTTAATGCAATTTGTACATTGTTGTGAAACTCTGAATGTAATTTTCAATAACACAGCAGATGTCAATTTCACCACACACACACACACACACAAACCTGTCCTGGCTCACTGTGGACATCGTCCTCCGGCAGGCTGGAAGGCTGGTCAGTCGCAGCGAAGGCCTGAAACTGACTGAAGTCGGCGAAATTGGGCTGATGGGGAATCTGATGGGGGGATGTGGAGGTGGTGAGCGCCGCAGGACCGCCTGGAACAACCTCAGCCTCCGAACGATGCCCGGTGTGTGGTGCTGACGACTGAAAAGAGGGAGGGGAGGGGTGAAGGCCTTCATGAGTAAAATGACACTTGATACAGGAGTTTTTTCTTTCAAGTAATTCAATAAAATGCTATGCAGCCAAGGCGCACGGTACATAGTATAGGTATACAGATCACAATACAATTTATATAACCCTATATAATTTTTTTTAATTAATTTTGACGATGCGATAGGTTGGGTGATGTTTTTCTGTACAAATGTCATAGCATAAAAATTATAAAAACATTATACAGCAACATAAGTATTGCCATGTGATAAAAGCATGTGACTGAAGTGATGGTAATGTTGAACGGAAACTAGGTGATTAGTTTACAAGGAAGACCGATGCGAAGAGATGGGTTTTGAATTTGCATCATTGAGTGTTTCTGTCCCTCTCACCTGTGTGGGGAGGGGTCTCGGAGGCACAGCGGGTGGGTAAGTTATGGCTAAAGATGGCGGTTGTCCTGCAGCGGTTACAGCGGCGAAGGTGCGGTTCATGTCGAGAGACGAGGAGCGAGAGTGAGAGGGGTGCGGGCGGGGGGGCGGCGGAGGGGGGGCTACCACCTTCAGAGTTTCTGGAGACGTCCCCGACAGAGACCTGGACACAAATATGTTTCTTCAATTAAAATTCAAAGAAATGGCAATGACATTCTTCTGACCTGAGCTCCTCCAACAATGCAACATATATAATCAAATGCAAAAACACAAAATACAAAGTAGTGATAAAAATCTTTATACATGTCAATAGAATATGATATGTACGAGAACAGAATATGAAGTTAAATAATGTAAATTAAGACTAAATTAAATACGGTTTATTGCGTGATAACTATTTATATATATTAGCATATTGCAAGATGACAACAGGAATGTTTATCGGAGGCAAGATATGAACAAATTCTCGCTAATCTGTTTACAATGAGATTGATCAGAGCAGATTGGAAAAATAATAACAGGTACAGGAACTTGGATACACAACACAAAGACATGTCAATAAATCAATACTGACCTTTGTCTTGTGATTGGCTCCTGGTCTGAGGTGTAGGAGTCTGAACTGCTGTAGCCATCACCTTTAAGGTAGAGATAATAAAACACATCCCATAAACAAAACATCAGCATGTGAAGACATTTTATTCCAGTTAGTTACAACCTCAATGTGATTGATGACTTGGATATAATGCAAAAGTATGTCAGGCTGAATGGTCTGTAGTGCAGTTGCATTGTGGGTAATGTAGGCACCAGGTTTTGACAAGGAAGAAAGTGGGCAAAAAACAAATGTTGCATTGATTTGTATTTTTTCAACATCTCCCTGGCACAGCAGCCCATCCTTTACTCACCGACAGCGTTGGCGGCTACAAACATGGATGTCGATAGATTGGCTTCCTCGGACAGCTCTGGAGGTTGAGACAGCAGCGGACTGGTCGGGTGGTTGTGGTCTGAGGGTTTAAGATAAAACAAATGTTGAGTTAGCTCTACGGGGTGAAGACCATCTCATTTTATCACTAAATATCTTGAGGAACAGCTTGGGAAACATGACCACGGAATATTTCCACTGTATGTTTATGAATCAAATCCAGAGTGATTATGTTTAATGACGCCAAGTACTGTTTACTCAAAACAAACAGCAGCCTCTTGGTTTCTTACTACCTGATTCACATCGTAGGAGACACAATGTTCTGGACAGTTAATGATGTACTCCAGGGGTCGGCAACCTTTTTGATATGAAGTGCCATTAAAAAAAAATGTTTAGATCAGTGTGCTGACGCTCGTGAATTGTCAACGGGGGGGGAGCCTCGCCGCGGGGAAGCAGTGTGTGGACCTCTTTCACCTGTCAGCGCAACTTACATGATGCCGTTTAAACACATTTAAATAATTGGTTTAACCGGCATAATAATAAGGACGACCGTCTGTTCTGTGATTCTCCAGAACACACAGATGGCCAGTCCGCCTCTGTGTAGCATATTATTTAGAGGAGAGATGAGCAGATCGCCACTGGGCTTTCAACTAAAGACACAGCCACGCAAAAACTGCGGCATTTGTACAGCTCCTTATGGGTACTGCAATTTGTGAAGTGCCGGCGCGGCAGCTGTGCTTTCCTCCGTGGCGAAACGATCAGCACTGCACCATGAAGGAAAGCGGCAGAAAGTCGCCTGGAGTTAAAGAGAGCGGGGCTGCGCTGCGTGCATGGCTTCCTCCTGCAGGTAACGGGGAGACGCGCTCTGGCGGCGGTCTCGTTCAGGATCCGAAAATACAATTTAAATATTTTACACACTTATTCCACTTATTCCTAGTGTGCCACTGGTTACGGTGCCGCGTCATACATTTGGAATTAAAAACCTCGTCTATGGCTTTGTAGCTGTGCCTAAAAACTACACTCATTTATCCAATGTTGCACTACTGTAATGGAAAGTCAGTCTGAAGGCAGCAGGTTGTCTCACCGCTGCCGGTCCTCTTCAGCTCCATCTCCTGCATGTGGATCTTACTGGGTGTCATCCGGATGGGGACCGGGTGGACGATGGCCGTGTCCTGAAGAACAGATAAAAGTTACAGGAGGTGAGACAGACAGACTTCTGAAGGGAGAGAGAGACACGTTTTAAAGAAGGATACGTTTGTAATCCACGTTTTCGGAACACTTTATTTTCCAATTACTTTGTCAGGCTTTCCTCCTTCTGCCACTTGGATTCATTTGTATTTGAAGTATTAAAGTGAGTTTGTAATTGTAATATGATTGTGGTATCAGAGTCTTTTAACGTACTAAGAAAGTAGCTTTACTTTGTACATAAACTGTACTTGAGGTACAGGTACTGAACTCTGAGTTTTTGCCATTCCAAAGATTTAAGGGGGACATTTGACATCCTTGTTCAGGTACCACTCAGTATTTATTTGCTGGGATTTCTGCCCAGAATTTCAAGGTACCCAAAAGCACTCTAAAAAAGATGCAGACTCTTGCTAAAGGGAAAATAGTGGTCGTCAATACTGCAGTTTTTCGCCTGATTTATAGTGCAGAGCTATTCGTGAGGAAATTCTGCTTTAGGGGCAAAAAAGGACTTGGAAACTTCCACAGTAAATGACACAGCACCAAACAAATGTAAGTACTTACAGCATTTGACCATATATGGAAAAACCTATCTGTGACAATCTGCAAATGCAATAGTGATTGGTGGGGTCACTGTAGAAAACAAGTGATGTCCAATAGAAGCTAAGCCAGCCAAGTCACAACACACACTGGCTGCTGCTGAACTTTGAAAAAACATCATGCAGAGAGAGAGACAGAGAGAGACAGAGAGAGAGAGATAGAGAGAGAGACAGAGAGAGAGAGAGAGAGAGAGAGAGAGAGAGAGAGAGACAGAGAGAGACAGAAAGAAAGAGAGAGAGAGACAGACAGAGAGAGAGAGGGAGAGACAGAGAGAGGGAGAGATAGGGAGAGAGAGAGAGAAAGAGAGCGAGAGAGAGAGACAGAGAGAGAGAGGCAGAGAGAGAGAGAGAGAGAGAGAGAGAGAGAGAGACAAGAGATAGAGAGAGAGCAGTAGAGATAAAACAGAGAGAGAGAGCGCAAGAAGAAGAAGCGAGATAGCTATAGAGATATATAGAGAGAGCAGAAGATCTAGATAGAGACGAAAGATAGAGAGAGGAGAGAGAATGAGCTAGGAATAGAGCATAGGGAGAGCTAGAGCAGAGATAGATCGAGAGAGGAGATATCGAGAGCGAGAGCGAGAGCGAGAGAGAGAGAGAAAGAGAGCGAGAGAGAAAGAGAGCGAGAGAGAGCTGTGTTCCACTTTCCAAATAAGCATTCGAAAATATGTATTGAAACGTCAAAATTAAATCTTATGTCCTGTTTTTAAACTCGCTTCAAGGCTGTTTTTGCCTTTGTCGAAAGCGAAAAGGAGTTCATGTGATAACCAGGATATGGAAACAATAATAAGGAATGCGTTATGATGTGGAGAGCATCTAACTTGCAGCACTCCGCTGGTTCCTCTTTCAGCAAATGCATTAGAAATGTGTCTTTGTCTCCGTACATCTCAATTATTATATTATTATAGACCTGAAAACCTCTCCCCCATTTTTCTCTTGTAAATGGATAAGATGGACTCGTTTGTTTTCCAATTTCCAACCACTACTTATTTTACACCGCTTGCTTGCCATGTATAAAACAAAGCTAACTTCTGACAAAACTACACTGTGTAGCAGTTTATCACTCTACACCAGGGCTATTCAACTGGCGGCCCGCGGGGTGATATTTACTGGCCCTTTGAGTATAATGTTAAAATATAATCAACTTTTTTTTAATAATTTTTTTTGGGCCACAGTGCCTTTATTCCAGAGAGGGTGTTAAATTGAGAGATAGAGGGGAAGACATTGCCTGAAAACTTTGGCGGGCTCGGGTTTCGAACCCACCTACTGTACTAGCTACTGTAGTGACAACTCCTGTCATTGATTGCATCTCTGCGTGAATGATTAGATAATTTCACCTAAATGAAATCAAATGAAATGATGTTGATGGTTAAACTAACTTCACATGTAGGCCTACTGAGTTCTGAACTTGCCATTTAGATCTAGAAAGGCCTTGGGGCTATGTTGTTTGATTTAATGAAACACAATATAAGCACTCCACTATGCTGTTGTAGTATTTACTGTATCTGAAGCTCTTAATATGATTGCTCATATTTCAAGCCATCTTTTTCCCGGCCCCTTGCTTTGGATCATTTTCATTAACCGGCCCCGATTCCAAACTAATTGAATAGCCCTGCTCTACACCAGCATTCATATTCATTTTGCTTAAAGATCTATTGACAATTAAATGGAAACACAGCTATTGTGAGAGAGAGAGAGAGCGAGAGAGAGAGAGAGCGAGACAGAGAGAGAGAGACAGAGAGAGAGACAGAGACAGAGAGCGAGAGAACGAGAGAGAGAGACAGAGAGCTCATGGAGAACCAGAGAGGGTTAATGTCTGTCCATTAATGGTGAAACCATGCATACTAAGTGATTGACTTACAGGGTCAGCTGGTGCAATGTTAGAGTCAAATTGGGTCAGAGTTTGTGAGCTGGAGGAGCGCTCGCTAAACGTCTCCCACTGCTGCAGGAGACAGACAGACAGTGAGAAAAAACATGTCAGTCAGCCAGTGCAGTGACATCACACATTTACATCATCAGCCCGAGCCGCGTCCGTCGTGTGACATCGGCCATCGATGTGACATCATCGGCGGGCGTGGGAACAACAGACTTCCACACAGAACAGCACAGGAAGTGAGAGAAGAGGTGCTGAATTATCAGTAATTATGTTTGATGATGAAGAGGATGAAGTAGCTGTCAAATCATGATGGATGGATAAAGAAAAAGCACCCATTTACCCCTCAGCAATTAATCATGATGAATCAAATGCAACACAGCAAAGCAAACGAACATGGAGCAATAAGAAATGTTTGTGTTGTGAACCTCGCTGTTCTGGTTCATCTCGGGCCAGGCCTGGTTGAGTGAAGGCATGGAGGGAGACTTGTTGGGGGTGACCTCCACCGGGGAGCCCGGGGAGCCCGAGTACCCGACGTCCGCGGCCTGGTCCGGGACCTCTGGACACAGAACATTAGACACAGGTAAGCCATGTTATTCCACAACTAAAATATGAAGGGTCCGGGTGGCAAACAAAAGGCAATACATAATCTCTTTATTTGTTGTTTGAGAAAGTTGTCAATACTTTTCTTGCTAGTTTTTGCTCTTTAAAAACGTAATTGTTGAAGGACAGATATACTCAGTTTTCCTCTATAAATCTAAAATGTAATAAAACATTTTTTTTTAAAAGGCAAACAAGAGTAAAACCTAATATTATGACAAAATTATACCAAATCTCTGTAAGCAGTTCATTAATGGAACTGCTCTTAAAGGTAGGGTAGGTAAGAATGGAGAAACCAGCTCCAGTGCGCTAGAATTTGAAAGTACGCAGCCGGAAAAAATCTGCCACTTCCTTACAGAGCCCCTCCTCCAACACACACGAACGCGCACATGACCAATGAGGGCACGAGATAAGTTTGTGCACAGATGGAAGGCTGACAGGCAGGTAGGCCATCCAGTTATTTTAGCCGGGCCGGCTCAGATGATTGGTCGTGCTTTTTACAGCGCCACGGCTTCCACAGATGATTTTTTTTAATGTATTCATTGTCAAAGCATTTCATATATTCATTGCTATCAGGATGTTAAGAGCATTCCATGGAATATAACAAGTGTTGTGAATTACCCTACCTTTAAGGGGATATTATATATATATATTTAAAAAATAAGACTTTTGCATAGTGTGTTACCTTTCCCTTAAATACAGAAAACAATTGTCTAATTTACCAAATAATTGAGTCTGTCTTTGCTGTATATAACTTTGAAAGGGCAGCAGAAACCTACAGCAGCTCCATTATAGAAAGTACTTCATCACCCGAGTAAATGTATAGATTTACTACAACTGCAGTGCTGTAACCTCACAAGCTTTATGAGGCCTGAGGTTGGGACATTAGGGGAGGTAGGAACACAGACAGAGAGTCAGAGTGAGAGGAAGGGAGGGTGGGGGGAGGGAGGCTTGCGGACCTGCTGAGTCATCCAGGTCAATCAGCTTTGGCATCAGGCTCTCAGGCAGCATCTCAGGGAGGTCATATCCATTTTTCCTGGCCACGACCAGGTGAAAGGCGGCGCAGAATTCATCCAGGGTCAGCGCCCCGTCTTTATCGAAGTCTGACAGCTCCCTTCAAAGCACACATTAGACGTAGGTGAGTCTGCAGTCCTCACAAAACAACTGTATACATTCAGCACAGACAATCATAGTGTTTGTGGATAAAAGGGTTGACTCACCAAATATGTGACAACTCTAAAATCGGTAGTTTTGATTTGGTAAAGAACTCTTTTGCAGACGAACCTAAAACCCAAAGAAACTGATGGTTAAACAATTATCCTTAAACGTTTGTTTTATTGTGTTTTTTTCTGCATAATCCTACCAGGTATAAAGCCGTTTAGATCTGGCTGGATGGTTTTAAACTGGTTTATATAATACTGTCTCTGCTCGTCCGTGATCTTCCACGGATCATCGTAGCCGCTCGTCTGTCGCTGCATCTCATTGGCTGTTGCTCCTGAGGCCACCGTTCGTATCGTTGTGCTTTCCTATGGGGAACAAATGGGACATTTACAGAAACATTTGAGATAACAGCACTGGTTTAATATACATGGATATATATTAAAATTCAGAATAAACCATGTCCTATGTGTACTGTATGAATTTTCTTTTTCTACACTTGAAACTGTTAAAAAGAAATCCCATGACTGTTGATTACATGTGGCATATCATAATATTCTAATGTTACTCCTCCAAAAAAGTCCTGTTCTTCAAGGAATTTGGAATAGTAGGATAGTCAGAAAGCCTATCATTAGTTCCCATTAATCATCTCATATTTGAGATAATGTAATAACATTACTCAAGAAACAAAAGATCAGCATGACGTCTGTCTAAAATCAGACACTGGGTACAGGGGCTGGTTTTCAACTTTGCCTAAACAATGTCACACAAGAGTTAAGGTCTAAGTGCAGGCAGAGAAAACATTGATATATGTTTAAGTCACCACTTCAGTTAGTAAGATATCTTATGTTTGTAATGCCCGATGGCGCCTTTTCATTTGATAAAAGAGGGTGATGACGACTGCAATGATTATCACAGCCTGTCAGAATCCATCCATTGTCCTTTTCACAATCTCAAGACCCAATTGTCTGTGTAAAGTTGATGTATTATCAGTAGTCTGTAGTTAAATTCTATGTATGTGGACTTGGGTAAGACAAATGCCGATTGTGTGCTTTATAGAAATAAATCCTGAACATTTTAAACAACTGAAGAATTTAAAGCCAAGCCACCTCAACGAAAAGTGAGTTGCACATAATATAACTGCAATTTATAAAAAGGGAAATCAGTTCTTTATTAAGATGGTGATAGAAGTGTTGGACTGCCCTACCTGGGCTGATGAGGGATGCATTCCTGGGATGGCGCTGGATGGCGGCGTGTCCGCTGTGAAACTGACCCAACTCTCCTGACCCGGAGGGGGGGGCGAGTGAGACGGCCACATCCCTTCAGCGGGCACCGCACCTGTGGAGGAGGAGAGGAAACATACAGTTACATCTCCATGATACACACGTGTTATTAGGAGAGGATTAGGGCTGCAACTGCTAATCAATTCAGACTTGGAGTTTTTAAGGGATCATGTTCATACCAGCTTTATTACCAGAGTATCTTTGACACATTTTGTGCTGATGAAAGCATTGCTCAGGGCATGTGATGTTCCTCTTTGCTCTCCTAATGACTAACTGATGTAACTGCCACTCTCAGCAAACATCATTTATGTACAAGCTGCAAACATCGGGAAGTAATACAAACACAACTAATATGCTCTGTACTGACTTTTCTGCAAGGTCTTTCTCATTGTCCTTGTCTCAATGTTCATCACTGGTGGTCCATAAGGAGTTAATACAACTGTAACCAAAGCATAATAGCTGGTATGTGTTATTCATCTAAAAATATATATTTAAGCTTTTCAACTTTAGAAAACACTCCAAGAGTTATCCTTCATCTTGTCGCCTCTTTCCATTGTCTTTTGGCGCTTTTCCACTGCAGGACCTAGCACGGCTTAGTACGGTATGGTTAGGCCTTGGTAGGCCAGGTTCACTTTAAGCTGCGTTTCCATTACAGTTTAGGAACTGGGGTAGTAACTATAGTAACGCAGTGTAGGCGGGGCGATCGGCTGTTCGGCGGGCGGAGCGACTCTGCGTAAAACTGCTGTGACGTCATCTTCAATGCGAACCACAAAACCATAACATCAGCCGTTAGCTGTTAGCACTCAGAGCTCACAGCTCCTCATATCTGTTCAGAAACTAGACAAAAGTTAAACAAGTACAAACCACAGACTGTCTGTGTCATGGCGAATACAGTCGCTGGTTTATTTATGTCTGTAGGCCGTTGTTGTGAGTGTGGACGGAGCATATACAACGTTAGCTTAGCCTGATCGATCTGATCTCCATTCAGAAAACACGCATTCATGTTGTTACTTCGGCATCATTTTTAAACGTGTATTACAATTAAATCACGGTAAAATATGTTCATTTTGTTGTAGTTGTAGCCCCCTTGCCAGCGATTCTCTCTGACCATTCAGCAGTCGAGTGTTTACGTCACTAGTTTAGCATATTCAGCCCGGTTGTTGGCCCGGTAAGAACCTCGATTTTGGAGGGCCAGAAAAAAGGTGAAAAAATTCCTGAGCCGGAACTACCCCTAGATGAAAAGCAAAAAAAAGCTTAAACCGTGCTGCAGTTGAAAAGCGCCATAAAACTTAAGAGTTGCAACTGATGATTATTTTCTCTATCAGTTAATCTGATGATTATATTGACAATTAATCAGGAAATATTGAAAATGTGCTATCTACGTTTCTTAGACTCCAAGGTGACGGCTTGAAATGTGATGTATTGTCTGATCAACAGTCTATAACGCTAAGACATTCAGTCAATAATTATATAAAACAGAAAAGCTGGATCACTGTAGAGACTGGCACAGAAGAATGCAGGCATTGTTTCTAAACAAACAACAAATTACAATCGATAAACTGATTGTCCATCACCTAGTTGACTACATGTTGCAGCTACACATTAATTCAATATGCCATCATATCAACGGTCGGGATGTTACCGGCTGCTTGTGCTTCTCTGAAGTGCGTCCACACGGCTCCAGCTGGAGCAACGACCGGCTGTCTGTCTGCGTTCCCTCCGCTGGCCTGACGCTTGTGTTTCCTCCACGATTGAGGGGAGGTGGGGGGAGACTGGTGAGGGGAAACCACCGGGGACGTTGGCTCAGGCTGGTAACACACACAAGTACAATCAAACATGAAATATGTATGCAGATAAAAAATACATTCAGTAAACAATTACAGCTTGAATGAGAATCACCAGCTTCTGACAAGCAGCGTTATAAAATCTTAATTTGACACACTGTGAGGAAGCAGAAGCTCAGTGTGCAGAAGTGTCACCTCTACGGTTATATTATGGTTCCACATGTTATGAGTATATTCACTTTCAGATGCCATTTCAAATACTATAAGATTTCCATCTCGAACATCCACGGCCAAAAATGACTGCTTCAAAGCTTTTATCATCTGCTCATCACAGATAAGGGATGTTCAAGCTACTAGCTATTTCACAATAGATGGAAATAGATAAGCGGTCTACGTTAATCAGAGGCAACACACTGTAAGAAAAAGTCAGCAGCAGGAAACTTCAGATAGTCATTTGAGCTTTACGGACACAAATATGGACAGGAAAAAACACAGGAAACAGGACAGCATATCTTTAGTAACTGCTGCACTCAGTGGTGGGAGGAAATCAAATGCAAAGGAGATGAAAGTAAAGTTCAATGTGTTATTAATTGTGGGAAAAATAAAAATAAATAATGTATAACTACTAAACTTTTTTCTTTAACACAGAAAAACACCCCATGTCTACTATTTTTTTATATTTATTTTGTGTGTATTTTCTTTGCTTGTTTATTTACTCATTTATTGTATCTTGGTTTGTTTGCAATTGTGTGGTATTTAAACTGTTCACTGAGCAAAATGCAATACAAATACTACGACCCCAAATAAAGAATAAGAAAAATAAGAAAATCGAACTAAACTAATACCTTCATTTATTGTTTTTGCATGTATACGTGTACAGTATCTTTAAATCAAGCAAAAGAGCAAAGACACGTGATGATATCAAACACTCATGTTTGTTTGTACACCAGTTATGGCGCATTTCCACTGCAGGGCCTCGCACGGCTTAGTACGGTATAGTTAGGCCTTGGTAGGCCAGGCTCACTTTATGCTGCGTTTCCATTACAGTTTAGGAACTGGGGTAGTAACTATAGTAACGCAGTGTAGGCGGAGCCGTGACGTCATCTTCAATGTGAAACACAAAACCAACATCAGCCGTTAGCTGTTAGCACTCAGAGCTCACAGCTCCTCATATATGTTCAGAAACTAGACAAAAGTTAAACAAGTACAAACCACAGACTGTCTGTGTCATGGCGAATACAGTCGCTGGTTTATTTCTGTCTGTAGGCCGTTGTTGTGAGTGTGGACGGTCGGAGCATATACAACGTTAGCTTAGCCAATCTCCATTCAGAAAACACGCATTTTAAAAGGTTTTTCGCCTGCCGTCTGTCTGCAGACTTGTCAAAGCATTAATTCATGGTTTTTACTAACCGGTATCAGTATGTTGTTACTTCGGCATCATTTTGAAACGTGTATTGCAATTAAATCACGGTCAAATATGTTCATCTTGTTGTAGTTGCCAGCGATTCTCTCACTAGTTTAGCATACTCAGCCCGGCTGTTGACCCGGAAAGAACCTCGATTTTGGAGAGCCAGAAAACTGTGAAAAAGTACCCGCTAGCCAGAACTACCCCTAGTGGAAACGCAACCAAAAACGGGCCGGGCACGGCACGCTTAAACCGCGCTCCGCGCTGTAGTGGAAATGCACCATTCGTGTTAATTTCTATATGAGGAGAGTAGGATTACTAACCTGTGGTTCTATGCTTGGCGCCAGGGGCTGGACGACCTCATGGACAGGAAGTGAAGTGGATGCTGGGGGACCTTTCTTGTTTTGGATAACCCAGCCAGGCGGTCTGGGCATCACGGCAGCAGCGGAGGCCGGGTACAGACCGTCCGTGTCTGTGTACAGCGCTGCGTGCCTCGCCTCCGCCTCGTTCTTCCCCACCACGAACCGGGGCAGCGGCAGGTCTTTGACTGAGGAGACAGGAATCCATGCAGAGGATTAGAGGAAAAATTACTTTCAAATTGATTTCCATGTGCTTTAATGCACTAAACTCAAGGACTGTGCCCACCCACTCTCCGTTGCACTTAGATAGTCAGATATCATCAGTCTGAGATGCGTGGTGGATTTGAGCCCTGTCACAATAATGATATCAAGGAAGTATTGAACGATGTGTGGGTGGACATGACCTTGATCATTTTTGCTGACCTGGATATGGCTGAGTGTTTTTCTTTTTTAATTTATATCAATAGCATAAAATGGTCTTAAACTCTCTGCAACTTTAATAAGCATCACGTTGCACATCACGAATATTTTGTTACGAGGAAGTGGCCTCTGTGGTTCCTCATATCTAATGATGAAATAACAACTTTATGTTGCAATATTTAGGCCAAGCAAGTAAGTTCATGCAGCGGGTTACTATGACCTCCAACATTGTGGTTGTTATTTGTTGAGGACTCACCAAAGTCAAACACAGAAGATAATTTGTTAACCTAAAGCCTGAGGGCTAAGACTACAGACTCTTTTTAGTAAAGATAAATAGAAAGTTAGTAGAAACAGTTCTTACCATCCACCTGATATACAACACAAATATAGGGCTATTATCTGCCACAACAGTGGGAAATAGCTGGCACAAAATATATCTAATTATTTTTGATTACATTGTATTAGTTTCCCCAGACACACACACACACACACACACGCATATAATGACCAATTTGTGGTCCAATGTTCTGATAAAGCTCTCAAGTACTTGTGGAAAGAATGAGGCGGGGATGGAACCACCAGATCTCTACCAACAGAATGAGATTAACTGTGATTGAATTACTTTATCCAGCATACAATGAGTCCACTGAATGCACACTTTCAGCATTTAACACAGAATAACAAGCTTTACATTCTTGTAAAAAAACAAACAATATTCTGACCATAATAGATACACAAAAAGCTTTAAGTCCACTGGCACTTTATGTGATGGTACTGAGTGGATACTTGTTCTTTCCTGTGGGAGGGGAGGTTCTTTGTAAGATCAATGGTTCCAGTCAGCGCTGGACTCACCCGAGTTGAGGCTCTCGACCCTCAGGGGCAGACCGGACTGGGCGATGGCGATGAGCTTCAGAGCGATGTAGAACTGGCTCCGCCCGAAGTGACCCAGCCGAGTGGCTCCACAAAGCTCTGTGATCTAAACCCACACACACAGGGACGAAGAGGAACAGTTAACAACATTGTTTTCATGTAAAAAAAAAACGTTATATCAGACGAAATAGTGTCTTATTATTATAAAGTGATGCTTAGCTAGCTATTTTTCACGCTGCATCTGATGTGAGACACCAGGAGACAACACGTATGTCTACGCGATTGTATAAATGTATGTATGATACACCAGATTATGTTGAAAAAACTCAAATTATTTGGAAATTCAAGCATATTCACAATCTTTAAAAATGTAGGGGTTAAACCACTCTTTCAAATCTTTGTATGTACCCTGTAACGATGTGGTCAGTGGTCTTAACCAGTATAGTAACCATGTATTATTATGTATCTAAGTTCTACAAACACTGCTGGCTTTATTCAATGTTATTTACTTGCTTTAAGTCATGAAAACAGCACAATCAACAGTATCATTTGCTCAGCTCACTGGCAGATGTTCAGCGGGTCTGATTATCACATATTTTTGCTTTACTTGACGCCATGCTGAGCCGCTTAGTCCTGAATGTAAGACTGGACAGCACAACAGCAACAACAATGTGTTTCATATTTTCTACAGAAGCATGTAAAAGGCAATGCATTGTTGATGAGAGTGTAAATATACAGAGTGTGGAAGCATTATACCATGTGGATACCAGAATCCTGTGGATAATTAATACCAAGGGAGTTCAACTTCACAACATTAAGAAGAGTCCTTCAGTGCTGTGAGCCACAACACCAACAGCCCGCCACAGCTGACTGATCCCTTTCTTGCTGACAAAGAACTTATTCTGAGTACGTCTGGACAAACAAAGCACCAGCGCCTTCTCTCCGCCTGTTACAACATGACACTGTAGCTGTATGTGTCTATTGGCCACAACAGAGGACGTTTTGAAAGTAGAGGATTACAACACTGCCTAATTCTTCCACCCTGCAGCTCCCCTTGTTGACCTTGAAAAGAATCTGACTCACAAAATGCAAATATTAGCCTGCTGAGTGGGAAAACTAGTCAGGTGGTGATAGTCAAAAAGGTTTACAGGCATACGTGTATTATCAGATTAAACATTAGGATCATCAAAACAAGTGACTTAAAAAGCTAAATAAGCCTGTCAATTAAAAATGTAACTGATGAATTGGCCATTGAGTATATGCACATGGTCTGTGTAAAAGCTGGTTGAATGATACACCATTTTCAATTCATGAGACTGTGTGGGTTAGGTGCCAACGGTTATAAATCAAATTGACATGAAGACACTGTGACATTGGGTCTGTATTTTCCTCAATGTCAGCTTCACCCAGTGGGGGAAAGAATGATGGATTTTAAAGGAGCGAGAAGACAGGAAGAAATAACAAGTAATCTGAAGACTTTTTCTCATTTTTGCCAGCGTACAATGACACACTGAAAAGATACATTTCTTTTACACCCTTTTTTACATTAAGCCCAATTACACAGTAAGGTTACACAGACAGAAGTCTTCTATTCTGCCCCTTCCTTCCTGTCCCATGACCTCCTCAAATTCATTAAGATAAAATGTCTGCAATAAACAAGATTTTGACCCCACTTTATACATTAAAAAAGCTCCAATCCAGTGGCTCATTATATAAACGTGGTATGTGTATATGATATGTTTGCATTTCACATATGTATGTATTACTACAATAGGCAGAATTGTATTATTGTACAGTATTTAATATGACATTCTGTTTTTATCTTATCTTATTCTATTTTACATGTATATAGTCTACTTCTCCTGCATTGCTAGCACATTGGTCACTTGCAATATTTTATTTCTATTCTGTTTCTTCTTGCACTATTTGTATTGTTTAATGTTTAAATATGTTTATGTTGCTTTGTTGAGAGACTGGGACTTGTTTTCATTGCCATAACTACTCTGTAGCTACTGTGCATATGACAATAAAGCCTTTACATCTTGAATTTGGATTGATGGTACTGAGCAGTAGGTCTGAAGCAAAGGGCTGATGAGGGTATATTTGCTACAACGTTATGTATGGGCACTGTTCAACACACAATCACGAAAATATGCTTAAAGAGAAGACATACACGTCTGTTTTCTAAATAGGATGTCAATTTGAACCCAGATGTTCAGCTAAGGGTAACTATGTGATTTGGCTGCCCACTCTCTTCGGCTACAGCTAGCATTAGCCAGAAGAAGGTGTGTCTCTTTTGATGCGCAGCATTGCTAACCACCAGGGCTAACCTCACTTTAACTGGATGACAGGTCAGCTCTGACAGCCAAGCAAGTTGGTAAAAAAATATCCATATAACAGTTCGTGGCCAGCACCATCACAGTCTGGGGATAATGACACTCGCTAACGCTAGCTTACCTGCAGGACAACTTCGCTGGGTAGCTGGGCCGCCCGGAAAAGGTCAAGAACTCTCCCATTGGAAGCCACTTTTTTGGTATTGTCCGTGTCGCAGTAAACGAACAAATCCGAGTAATATTTCTGCTCGTAATCAGTCAGCGTTAAGCTTTCCATCGTAGTACCAATCGACCCTGAAAACCGGGCTACTTGGCTGTTGATTAGCCCTTAGCCAATGGCTGGGGCAGGACCAAAAAAAAATGGGCGAGACTTCAAACTTAGCTAGCCTTACAGCACTAGCTAGGTTAGCAGGAATAATGTTCTCAACGCGCTGTTGTCGTCTGAGCCCACTCTCTGTAAAAGTCCCCAATACTATCTGTTCACAATGACAGCTACTCACCACTCAAATACTAAAATTAGGAATGTTTCCATACAGTTATTGACTTAGTTAACTTGTTGGGCCAGCAAAGAAAAGTAGCCAACAGCTGGCTAGAAGCACTGCGAGCTAACCGCTACCTTGAATCAAAGTCAGTGGCAGTTAACGTTAAGCTAACTAGCAAAGTGCGTCCACCTTCTCAAAGCTGGACAACTAACCGCGTGTATCTCACGTTATAGCGCTTCTTTCTCCCTTTAGTCCGTCATGGGATGGTGTTTCTGCGTTTCGCTGGAAACAAATTCCTCAGCGGGGCCGTTAGAAGTAAAGTTTCATGGATTCTTTGGGCTCCTTCCTCTAGTAATCTTAGCCGCCATTCCTGCCACCAGTGTAAAGCCACTCACAGTTGAATTGAAACTTCCGGAAGGATCTTTTCAAATTAAAACAGCCCTTGAACATCTCAGAATCAGTTTATTGGCAACGTTTGCGAACATATTGTATCATACAGACTATGGTCAGTGGTGGAACAAGTATTCAGATACTTGGGTAAAAGTACAAATACAATATTGTCAAAATATATAATCACAAGTAAAAGCCCTCCATTCAAAATCTCCCTTTTTTATTTGTATTGCATTTGCTTAATTTAAACAGTGATCTATGGACTGCCTGCTTTAACCACTGAGTTTAACAGTTCAGAGATTATTTGAAATGACTGGATCATTAGGCTGGCCAGGACACAAAATCTCTCAAAACATGAAAACTCAAAATGATAATAAAGGAAATGAAAAAAAAGAGTTACTTTTTGGTACCAACCAGTTTTCACATTATCACATCACACCATCTTGCTTTCCATATCTCATCATCTCTCACACTTTGCCATGCTGAGTCTTGAACCACCAACCTTCTGACTCATAGACATCCATTTAGGTTAAGGTTGTACAGCAAATCAAATCCAATAAAATAATTAAACAAATGTTCAACTTTAATTATGAATCATATAATACGATATGCGTGAAGATTCTACGGTCATTTAACTCCAACACACAGGAGACTGTCTGCTGTCATTAAATAGTAAAAAAAACAAGCCCTCCAAAATACACCAGTGTGAGCTTTAGTTGTGAAAATAAGTTCCATCAACTTCCGGTTTTCTCTCAGGTTTTTTTTACAGCTAGCTTGATGTCTCGTGACGTCACTGGGCTACGTTCCGAATCAGCGCGAGCTTGCTTGGCCTTCAGGGACCCGGAAAATCGACTATGTTGGTAATTAATAGGAGAAGATGTTTTATATGTAAATATCAGTCAGTTAATAAGAAGGGGCGAACACTAATGAGTATAGTATGTAAATAAGTATTTACAGTGCAGTAATAATAGTAAAGGAGAATACATCATATTATAATAAAACAAACACAAAATGTTGTCACAATAAAATATTTTTGCAGGACATGTTGTTAGTAATAATACATGCTTACCCAATGTGACTAAAGAAGAGTGGTAATTGGGTATGTGTTATAGTTTTTCCATTTGTTCCACATGCCCATAGCTCCCAGTCATTATTACCTTAAACAGAAATACAACAACAACATAACCCATGAGGCTAAAATAAGTTTCTGGAGCCCATTTAACCAAATCAGGTGGAAGGGAGAGGACAGGAAGACGGGATGACATAAGAAAAGGAAAGGATGGAAAGGAAGAGATATATGAGAAGAGGTTTGACAAAGGGAAAGACAATCAGATCATGCCAATGAGCTATTATGGGCCGAGCACTTTCTTAATATTATCTACAGCCTATGCATCAATGCCAAAATCTGTCTGCAGTGATTGAAAGGTCACAGTTAACTTGTGATGCTGGAAATGTTCTGTGTAAAGGAAATGTCTCTGGTGTGCTTGTTTAAATGTAATGCCACTGCTCCAAAGGCTTGATTACAAAAAAATATATTTTTGTTTTTGTATTTGGGTGAAGTCATTTTCTGGAGGATTAGAAAAGGTAACTTGTTGTTTGTAGAGACAGCAGGCATCTCTCTCCCATGCCATATAAGGAGCCCCTGAAAGCTGTGTCACGATTAAGTCAGATGAGCTTTAATGGTGCCTTTAAGGGTTATTGGAAATCTGAATATCTGTTGAAAGACCCCGTGACCCACATCTTTTTATGCATTTTAATAATTTACAGCTGCCCCCTTGAGCAAAAGGTCACTTTTTTTAACATTTTCTGAAGCTCCCAGTCACATAGTATGACTTTTATTAGTGATTGTTTGCACACTGAGCCATTAGGTATTGGTAAAAAGCTCTTTTAATACTATTTAATATTCGAATAGGATTATTTATATGTATAGAACAGTGTGTTAGGAATAGTGTGAACATTGTGTTCTTTCTTTGACTATTTATTATTAAAACCTCCATAATTCTTGGTCCCAATATATATTTTTTTAATTCAGTATTTTACTTATTTTTCATAATTCATTTACAGTAATTTATCTGTTTACTTTTTTAAACCTTCGCTCTGTTACAAAATGACGATGTCGAAATGAATGACAAGGAGAAATCAATCAGTGCACCAAGACAAAGAATATCATTTCCGAGCAAACACTGAACGCATCAGCATTATTCGCCGGAGCAGATTCATCAGAAAGTCGGTCATCTTCTTATTAGGATCCAGAACCATAAAACAAAAGGTAAATATGTTAATGTTACATACAAACTGGTTTTATGTTGACTTGTATTACATTATTCCTTTACCACATATAATATCCGTTTATCAGCGGATCATTTGTTGAACGTAAGAAGCTACAATACCGGCAAGCTTGTATCCGGTGCTCATTCAAAGTCTTTCTTTTGTACCTGAAGCAATGTAAGACACATTTAGACTGTAAATATAAACCCGAACTAAAGAATGACTGCACATGTTTGAAATGCATGAATTACAATGAGGATTTGTGCTCCGTGATGGCTAGCTCTGAATGCTAATGGTACCATTTCCGCATTGATCACAGTACGCCCTGTTCTTGTTGCAGCCTGCTCCGTTCATCTCAATACTGCACTATTGATTTATACATTTATTAAATCCTTCATTTTATAAATCTAGAATTAAATGCATCGATTATGCTTTTGTTAGTGTGTATTTTTGATGAATGAAAAAGGCATTTTAGTTTCGTCTTTAATGGCCGTTTATTGTAAGAAGAGAACCTTTGTCCCAGACTCCGTTCACCAATCTGGCACAATTGCAACTATCTCCCTAATAATCACATTTAATGATGTGAGAAATTATAATTTATATTATTTTCTTAATAACTATCGGCCTTTTGAGAATTCGGCATAAAAGCAAATACCAAAAATAACTTAATTTTGATTCAAACATGTTTTAATCCCATTCACTATTCTGGCAAAATTGCAACTGGGTCTAATCAAATGTATTTATGTGAGAAATTATAATTTTATATTTTCTTCTGAATTAGTATCCCCTTTTTGAGAATTTGGCAAAGAAAGACCTTTTTTGAAGTGACTATATCACATTATATTTGGTCCAACATTTCGATATCAGTAAGGATTGTTAAAACAAATGGTAACTAAATGACACGCTGAGTCATGTATTAAGCATTTACGAAAATTAGGGATAGACCTTTATTGATCCTATATTTAAGAATACATTTACTTTTTAGCAACAGGGCATTAAAATGACACCATTTTAGTTGTCTCCCCCCTGCAAGAAAGTAGCATGACCAATTGCTCGTCTCCTCCCAAACTGTGTGTACACGCTTTAAAAAACACTTTTGTTAAGCTAAGAAGTCTATTTGTGGTAATTTATTTGATTTTCTTTACCCTTCTAGCAACAATGAATGTCGAACATGAAGTCAAACGGCTGGTGGAGGAGATTCAGCGACTTGGCAGTAAAAGTAAGTCAGTGCTATATTCTGTACGCCTATTAGAGGTTCATTGTGATGTGCTTCATCTTACCATGTTTAATTAACCATGTTCATGCTATGAATTCTAATGAACCATAAACATGCAATCATGTGATGTTGATCAGTAATTGACCTTAGTCCCAGCTCACTGCCCTGAAACAAATAAACCAGTGTTAGGTTACAAAGCCTTCCGTCTTCACTTGTATTGAGTCTCAAAAAATCTCTTAAAGAGGCCCTTTTATGCTAATGTTTAGGTTCATATTTGTATTCTGTGCCCCTACTGTGACATGTCTCCATGCTTTAATGTTCAAAAAGCTCTTTATTTTTCTCTGCTAGCGGTTGCATCCAAAAAATCCAATATTCACACTAATCCAATATTTTTCAAGCCAATTATTAAGCAGTTGTTGGCTGACATTTGATGTAATTGGTTTAACCTGTTATTAACTATGTTGGCATTTTTTGGCTTAAAGATGGTGACAGCAATTTGCTGAATAAAAAAAAAAAGTAGGAGTATTGCATTGGGTGACTGCACTTTTAATTCCCATTTATTTGTTGTGACTACTTCAAGGCTAACTTGGGGAAATCCTTGAAAAACACAATTTCTTGAGTTTTGACAATTTTAAGTCTTTTCAAAGTATGCGTTTTTTTTATAAATGTTTACATGGACTGCCCCCCCTCCCTCCCTTAGGGGAATTCATCCACAAAAAACACACTGGACGCTGCACTAGGTCAGAAACCAGAAGACACTGTGAGGTCCACCGTAGACGGAGCACTTTTGGACAAAATGTCCTCTCCATTAAAGGCAGCTCATTCTGGAATAGCCTCCCAACTGAGATACGGGATTGTCCCACTCTCAATAGCTTTAAAGGTCAACTCAAAGAATGGTTGAGAAACAAACAAACGTGCAATCACCGCTAAATGCACTTTAATACAGGGGTATCTCCTCTTGCACTCTATGTAGCCCTTTTATCTTCTCCTGCACTTTATATGTTGTTGCTGCTACATTGTACTGCCATGTGGTAAATGCTTGTATATGCTGCTCATGCTCTTTCTGAATATCATGTATTTATTTTTGCTATGTATATAAATGTCATGTTCTTAAATATTGTATGTGACGGGACTACGGATGGAAATTAGCTCAAAGCTAAAATCCGGCATATTTACATTTGAAGCATTATTTGTTTAAAGTGTTCATCAATGTGCATTGTCCCTTTTTAAAATAACGATTAAATGAAAATGAAATGAAATAACAACACCTGAAAGCTCAGAGCATTTTTATTTATTCCACAAATATATAACATACATGGAGATGTACATAAAAATCACACACTCAGTTTACAGTCCACTCAAATCTACACGTTATTGCTCACATACACATACATACATTACCCCTTTCCTTCCAAGTCTTATTTAGTCTAAATTATACATAAATACAGACATTCATTTGCATTATTACTTTTAAGATATTTATCAATCTGCCTCTTATTTCAGATGCCGAA